AGCACCCGATGTTCGGAAACGGGGAGCTCTGTCCTAGCGGGGCTGTGGCTTCTTTCGCTCGAGGATGCCGACCCCTCATCACAGTCTCACGTCTCACATGGGTAGTTTTCGAGATTTGCTCCCCAAACCCTAAGCCTAAACCATAAACCCCACACCAAAATTGTAGAACCCGTACAACACCCCCGATAAGACCCGAAAGAGTAGCCGCCACGATAGGAACCACCTGGAAGAGCCCTGGTTTGGGAAACTGCCCGCACGACCTTAGCCGACGTCTGAGTCGCAGAGCTGTTGAAATCAGCAGGCTCGAAAACAGGGTTTAGGATGCCTTACTTGGAGGTTCATGGGTAGTTATAAGTAAGGTTATAAGCCCCCTAATATGGATTATAACTATAGTTACCTTACTTATAACTCCACTTATTATTACCCATGAACCTCCAAGTACAGTTCAGGGCTTAAGATCCCTTTCGGTTTAGGGCTTTAGGCTTTAGGATGAGCGAAGTGCTCAGCCCCCCAGGAAGGTTCCTTGGAGAATCCTATCTTGGGCAGACCTTGCCTTCTGCGAGTGCAGACCTCAGGCCCTAAGCCCTACAACGTAAATACTAAATCCTAAACCCTTCAACCCCTTCTATAACCCCTACTTCCAGCACCTTCAGCCCCAAAACGCTAAACCCTCAATTCAAACCCTACACCCTAAACCCTAAACCCTAAACCCTAAACCCTAAACCCTAAACCCTAAACCCTACCTGGCTTGGAGCTCGGCTCAGAGGGGCAGAAGGCCTTGTCCCAATGATGGCGAGCCGGAGGCCAGGGCCTCAGCACGGAGAGCCTCCGAGCTGAGGCCGTGACATTTCCTCCGAGGTTTTCTTGGGGTTTCGGGTCCGGGTCTCAGGATTTAGGGTTTTAGGGTTTTAGGGATTAGGGTTTAGGGTTTTAGGGTTTTAGGGTTTTAGGGTTTTAGGGTTTTGGGGGGGCTACGTTCATCATTGCTGCAAGCCAAGTCGGCCGCAGAAGCTTGCAGACCAACTGCCGATGAGGTCCTTCTGCTACGGCTGCGACCGAGAGGCGATCATCCGCAAAATCTCAGCCCATACCGCCGTAGTAGGACAGCTCCAGATGCGGGCTCGTAGCTCAAGGGCCGAATTAAGCAGAAGATGTACTACCCCCCCATAGGAACCGCTATATATGGTAGCCCTGAGAGCTGAGTCTACTTGCAGTCTCATAGAATAGGATGCATCTATTCGTGCAGTAGCTCAAGCCCTGAACCGAATTCCTCACCATCACACCCATGCCCGACTACTCCAAGGCTTACAAAATGCGCGAACCCCAAGCCCTGAAGCCAGCCGCCACAAAAAAGGCAGCATAGTCTGCAAGCCCGCAACTCCAAAACCTACTTCCGAAGCCCCAGGAGCTTAAACCCAGAGCAGACAGAAAGCAACAAAAGCGCCGGGAGACTCTCGGCTGGAAGGTGTCTGCCCTCGTGCAAGCCGACCTCGAGTTGCAGCCGGGGGGCCCAAATTTTGGGTTCTTGTTAAGGGTTTTTATTTAAGTTACCATAATAGGGATCTATAGTAAATAATATGGTTTCCTTATTATGGTAACTCAAATTAAATCCCTTAACAAGAACCCCAGAAAATGGCTTGGATCCAACTTGCCTCTTGTCCCTGTCTGCTCCTTGATCCTGCAGTAGGCCCAAGTAGGCCCGAGAGGTGTGCAGGTAGACTCGAGGTACAGCTTAGGGTTTTGGGCATGTAGGGAAGTATGGAGGCATTACAAGTTGCATCTGAAGCTTCGCTCGGGGCATTGGAACTTGAGTGCGGAGGGCCTCGGCCTCTACTGAAGAACAAAGACCGATCTCCGTGGCTTTACGTTGCTTTCCTCGAGCCCTGTGATCGTGCCGAAAGTGGCCACCAGCTCTTTGGTGAAATGTCGGACGACCTCAAGTGAATATGACTTACAGCCTCCCGCAAGAGAAGCCCAGAAGTCGCTCCTGCTTCATAAGCGAAGTCACACTTGTCACTCCCCAGCGAAGTCTAGGTGCCCAGACTGCCGGAGCTCCTGCTAGCTCCTCAGTGTCTGCCATAGGGGAAGTTCTACGGTTCAGGGCCATGGAGGCCGTGAAGTTGGCCGTGCACCCGAGGTCTGGAGGCGCTTGAGCCCGAGGCGACGAGCCAGGCAACTTGGGTGGTTGGGTTTCGAATCTGGGATTTGGGGTTCTCGTAACCATGGGAGGGTTTGGGCTCGGCCGGGGGACACGGAAGGGGCACAAAGTGTTGCTTGTGAAGGCCTGCCACCGTCTTGTGTGATACGAGGAGGTAGGCTAGCAGTCCATGACACCACACGCACAACATACCTGCGCAATGCAATGCATGTAGAGTGGAGCACGACTACTGAAGCATACCAACACAAATCAGTCAACAGAAGCGGCCAGAACACACGAGCATGCAAGCCAAACACACCCTTCTAGCCTAGCCGCTATTGCGAGCGGTGGTTTTTAATAGCAGCCAAATTTGGGCAGGTGCCAGTGCCACCTCCGCCTCTGTCGGCGCAGGGGTCTTGAGAAGCCAACTGCCGGGTTTGACCGCCAAAGGCATGATGAAAGGATCCTGTTGATAACCGTATTAATCTGATATTGGTAATCATAATGAATTTGGTTTGCGTTTGGGGCCACTGCCTCGTCTGCTGGCTCATGGGTTGAGATTGAGCTACAACTCAGAGCGACAACGACTCCGGGCAGAGCTCGAAGAGAATTCTCTGTTCATGCACAATCAGAGTGGCCGCAAATGGATGCATGGGTGCAGAACCGTTCAGATCACGTTCGAAGGGAGCACACACGGCATCTCCGTGTTTTCCTTCATCTGCCTATGCTATATGAAGACCTGAGCTGAGGGAACGTAGAGGAGAATGGAACGAGGTGGGATGGTTTCCCGCCGCCACGGCCGCTGCCGCTGCCAACAGCGTACAGGGCCGAGCTTTTCGGGCATGAGACGAGCCTGCCTAATTGACATGGCCACATCCAGACCATAAACCAAAACCCGTACTGTGAAGCTTAAGCCGGAAAAACCTTTACACCCGAAGTCCTAAAACCCTGAGCCCGCAAAAACCCAGAACCTTAAACATATGCCGAGTGCCTTTAGGGTTTGTAGCATGACAGCCTGCCTGAAGCTTCTGAGCTTCCTTCTCTAAAAAGGCGAGAGGAACACTACAGCCGTAGGGTCTGCATCATATGTCTTTTCCAAGCTCGAAGGAGGACCGGCCCTGGACCGAGAGCCATCGACCTTTCTGCGGCTCGCCCTCGCCCGACGATTCCTGCGTCGCTGGCATTGGCCTCGCTCCTGGTCAGGTGGTGAGTTAAAGCTTGAAACCCAGAACCCGAGCTCAAGAGCCCGACGAAGGTACTCAAAGCCCCATAAACCTTTATCGGGTCCTGTCGGATTTTTCAGAGGGGTTCGTATAAAGGGCCCCCTAGAAGAGTTTCAGCCTCCCAGGCGCAAGGCCTGCGGTCGAACCTTCGAAGCAACTCCCGCCTGCGACGGTACCAAGGCGCAGCTTTGGGTTTCGGCGCAGCTTGAGGGTTTGGGGTTTAGATAAAGTTTTTAACATTTGGGTGAGGGTTTGGGGTTTAGCTAAAGTTTTTAGCATTTGGGTGAGGGTTTGGGGTTTAGATAAAAGTTTTGAACATTTGGGTTCGGCGTTTGTTTCCTAGGTCTGGGCGGACCTGGCTTTTCCATGTAGGTCTGGCTAGCCTTCTTGGTACACCCAACCGGAGTGCACAGGAGTCTGTGCTTGCGAAGGTCTTGCCAAGGCAGAAGCACAAAACGTTTTTGACAGTTACTGACGTCAAGGCGCATCTTAGTTCGAAGCTGCTCGATCAGCCAGAATTCGAACGATTTTCCAGCTGGCGCAGCGACTTGGATATGCTCAAATTGAGACCAGCGACAGCAACAGCAAATGCAACAGCAACAACACCAACACCAGCAACAGCAACAATGACAACGACAACGACAACTAGAACGAGAAGCGCCTCTAAACGCAACATTAAGCAGCCGTGGCAGCAACAACAGAAACAACAACAACAACAAGAGCAACAGCAACAACAACAACAACAACACCAAAAACAACAACAACAACAACAACAAAACCAACAACAACAACAACAACAACAACGACGACGACGACGACGACGACGACAACGACAACGACAACAATGACAACAACAACAACAACAACAACAATGACAACGACAACGTCAACAACAAGATCACGGCAATGTAACGGATCCCAGGTTTGTGGATGGAGTTTGTGGGAGCGCTATCATGGTTGGGACATGGATGCTCTGCGGGAATGGATAGAGTTTGTGGGAACGTTATCATGGTTGGGACATGGATGCTCTGTGGAACTGGATAGTTTGTGGGAAGGTTGGGACATGGATGCTCTGCGAGAATGGATAGAGTTTGTGGGAACGTTATCATGGTTGCCACATGGATGCTCTGCGGGAATGGATAGAGTTTGCACTGTCATCGAGCTAGTCTACGCAGTCCAGCAGTAACGGCAACAGTCGATTCGACGATCATGGTGACTGCATTGCTGCTGTGCTTCCTCATATGTGCCAACGGTGATGCCATGGGAAGCGAAAGGGTGGCGGTGGCTATGAT